GCCAGAGGCAGCACCTCGCTGCAGCGAAAATTTTTGAATTTCCGTGTTTGCAGGGCTTACAATTTGAGACGAGATCTCAAAAACTACTTAATATTTTTTAGTGAATCAAGAAGATTCGAAAAGATAATAAAATTTAGAACAATGCTCTTGTTTCATTTTTTTAAAAAAAGCGATGGGTTTGGATGTACCGAGCGATAGAAATGATGCTTTTTTTCGAGTATTTAGGTCGTGATATTTTCAATTTGCAATTTTTTTTTCCGAAAAACTAAAACAACAGCATTATTGTTTAGATTTTTATCTTTTATTATTTTCTAATCCGGTCAAAAAATATTACAAAATAAGTGAGTTCTCGTCTCGGGAAATCAACCCTTTTTCTCAATTTTTAACGGCTTGTTGTTGGCCTCTTAAGGTTTAAAGTCAGGCCTATAGTTCATTGCAGCAACGCGAGATGTCAGTACTGTCGCCCCTATAGTGTGCCCTAACTTGATAGTAAAAAAAAAATAGAAACTTGTTTTTGGCTAGTGACCTCGGTAATGATTCGATTAGTTTTCTTAAGTTGGATTCAGGTCAATAAAACAGCGTTGGAGATGAAAAATTTTGTATTTGCCGACGTTTCGACCTAAATTAGGTCATCCTCAGGGCACTAAAAATTAGGATAATAAATGACAAATGCAAAACAAACAATAAATAAATAAATAAATAAACAAATAAAACCACAGTTACAATACACAGTTCTTAATAGTTTTAACAGCTAATATTACTTACATTCAAGTTATCACTCCAGTGTACAAATTAAAATGGTGGTAAGGAACATGTTAACAATTTAATATAATACATAATAGGCACTTGTGGACTCGACTCATAATGTAGACAGTAAAAAAAACAAAAAATAAAACAAACAACACAGTATTAACGGTAATTAAAAAAAATAAAATAAATTGATACAGTCGAACCGACAAAAAGAGAAATCTGCATTTGGTTAAATTGTGTGATGGAAAGTTTTTTCTTTTTTTCGCGGAAATTCGAAGTATTATTCTGTTTTACATAAACAGGGTTGTAGTTTGGACCAACACAAATAATTTTGAATGTTCATCCGTCGGATTTATTTTTAAACAGTGTAGCTACAGGCGTATTTCCAACTATTCTTGCAGTAGCGAGAAAACTACAAGTTCAAAAAAATTGAAAAAAATATATGTCGCGTAGAATTGCAATAGTAGTTCGTAATAAAAATAACGGGAAACTTCATCTATTCGTTTTGAAATAAATGGTGAAAAACCACTTTTTTTTCAGTTTTTGCGATATAACTCAAAAATGGCGAGTCAAATTTGCTTAAAAAAATTATGGATTAAAGTATATTAATAACCATAAAACATATATTTTTTTTTGGAATTTTTGAACACAAGGTTCAGAAAATGGGGGTTGACTTTAAACCTTAATCATAGAAAAAGTATAGTATTCTACTGGTGGGTAATTGCTATTACTTACTCGGATTATTACACTACTCGCCTGCGGCTCGTAGTGCAAATTTCATCCTTCGTGAGTAATAGCTATCATTACCCGCTCTGAATAATATACTATTTCCCGCACACTTTTGAGAAAGGGTTTCTTTGCGTACGCAAAAGTGTGTGCAAAGTAATTACTTTGCGCACACTCGTAGAAAATAGTGGTTTTCCTAATCAGTGCTTAAAGTTATGTTTTCCCGCACGCAAAAGCAGTTAGACGAACGACGCGAAGCGGAGTTCGGATAAGCTTTAAGTGCGGGAAAACTACTTTGCGCACGTGTTAGGAACAATATTTCTCCTCAGCGTGCGAAAAAGTTTTTCACATGCTGCTTATCAGTTTTCTATTTATTCTGGCCCTATCATCCTGACGTAAATTGCGATTGTCACCAATTTCTGATGTTGATGATTTGTTTCCTAACAAATGAAAATTACATATTTGGTTGTTCTATTTTGCAGTTGTAGGAAAAGCATTGTAAAAAACTCGTTTGAAAACCTTTTTTCGAACTCGCTTGACTTGTGGAACTCGCCTACGGCTCGGTCCAACAAACTGTCTCGCCGTGCGAAAATAGCTATTTATACAATAAGTTACGAAATGAGCGTCTTTTAGGCACGCGACGTGAAAATTGTCCAACGAGGCAAAGCCGAGTTGGACAACACGTCGAGTGACTAAAAGACATCGTTTCGTAACGTATTGTATACAAGATTTTTTCTACTGGTATTTTATAATGAAAAAACACAATTTTATTTCATGTGAATAAGTCGATTACGCCCAAAATCTTTGTTACCTGCTTTTGCTTGACACCTGACACTTTTCATGCGATTTTTTTTTCAAGATTTGACATGAATAATTAAAATCCCAGAAAGTAGGTAACAACACAAAGTTCTGTTTTGAGTACCTAACCCAAACGTTCAATTCAATAATTACATTTTTAATTTTCATAATAAATACAAAACAAAATTCAAATCTGTGTTTAGTGTGTTTTTTTTTTCTGAATAATGAATGACACTTTTAGGCACAAGTGCTTAAAAATTACTTTTACGCACTCAAAAGTCACTTTTACGCATTCAAAAGTCACTTTTACGCACTGAGTGCTTAAAAGTAACTTTTACGCACTCAGTGCTTAAAAGAATGTCGTTTTAAAACTAAAATGACAATCGAAAAGTTGCTATTATGAAACGTCAGTAGAAAAAAGTAGTTTTCAAAACTTGTTGTTTAAATAACTATTTTCTACCAGTGAAATGACTATACTTCTTTTTTAAATTTTTAATTTTTATAGACATCAAAAACAGCAACTTGTTATAACTAACTAGGTATAGTATTTTTAATACCCATTTAGAATAACCCCATCCTAATTTATCAATCACAAATCAGATGAAACAAAAAATTACCAACAAAAACGAACGTCGCTTCCTAATACGTCAATTTCATGTACAAATAGGAAATTCCTAACCTAATTTTATTTGTGTATTAAAGAACCGACATGCGTTTAGTCACTAGAACCACTGGTATTTCTAAATAGGTATTAAAAATAAATCGGCAAAAAATTGTTTGGCCCCTCTCCGCGGGGCTTTGTCCCCCAAAAAAGGGGGCCCTACGGGGCTGGGACCCCAAATATGGGGCTCCCGCGTAGCTTTGCCACCCAAAAAGGGGCCCCCTGCGGAGCTAGAAACCCCATAAAGGGGGCTCCTGCGGGGCTCTTGCAGGGCTTTGCCCACCAAATAGGGGGCCCTCGGATTTTATTATGGGTAGCAGAAAAAAAAGTGTCCGCAAAGTAGTTACTTTGCGCATAGTGTGCGGGAATTTTTTTGTCCCGCACACTTTTGGGAAAGGGTTTCTTTGCGTACACAAAAGTGTGCGCAAAAAAATTACTTTGCGCACACTCGTAGAAAATAGCTATTTATACAATAAGTTACGAAATGAGCGTCTTTTAGGCACGCGACGTGAAAATTGTCCAACGAGGCAAAGCCGAGTTGGACAACACGTCGAGTGACTAAAAGACATCGTTTCGTAACGTATTGTATACAAGATTTTTTCTACTGGCATTTTATAATAAAAAAACACAATTTTATTTCATGTGAATAAGTCGATTACACCCAAAATCTTTGTTACCTGCTTTTACTTGACACCTGACACTTTTCATGCGATTTTCTTTTCAAAATTCGCCATCAATAATTAAAATCCTAGAAAGTAGGTAATAACACAAACTTCTGTTTTGAGTAACCCAAACGTTCAATTCAGTAATTCCATTTTCAATATTCATAATAAATACAAAACAAAATTCAAATATGTGTTTAGTGTGTTTTTTATTTCTGAATAATGAATGACACTTTTAGGCACTAGTGCTTAAAAATTACTTTTACGCACTCATAAGTCACTTTTACGCATTCAAAAGTCACTTTTACGCACTGAGTGCCTAAAAGTAACTTTCACGCACTCAGTGCCTAAAAGAATGTCGTTTCAAAACTGAAATGACAATCGAAAAGTTGCTATTATGAAACGTCAGTAGAAAAAATACTTTTTTCGTTCAGCAGATAAGAGCTAGGCATACCAAAACTCATACATGCAATACTCATGACGACATTAATAGTAATAGCAAAATGATTAACAGGAATGCACAGTAGTCGGAGTGGTAGCCACTTGAAACGACGCCACTGACTAAACTCGACTACCCAGTTAGTCCAGCGGTGACGTTGTATTGTGAGCAAAATTTAGTGAAACATAATTTCATATTTCGGTTTCCTCAATTACATAGTATTACGTAGTACATATAAAAAAATGCAATTGATCAGTAGCGTGTTGTATGATTACACGTATTTTTTTATATGCAAAATTAATTAGATTAATAATAATGTTTTCAAAATATTTGACTGTGTCAAGTTAAATGGACCAGCCTAGCCTGTATAGAGAAATAACTTCCATTTCTCTTCTTTTACAAAAATCTACAAAATATCACAGTCATATAAGATACGCTGTATGCCGTTTGGACTAATAAAACGCAGCCCTGGAACGACGCAAAGTTATTGCAATCTTGAGCTGCTCCGGAGTAACTTAAGGGTCACTGGAAAGCAATTCTGCCTTCACAGACAGAACAGCCGCAAACAATCTACAACACAACGATCCAAGGGTTGTTGCCAAAAGGTATTAAGTATCTTAATAAACTGTCGAATTATGTTTTGTTAATTTGTCAATTACTTGGTGAAAGAGAAGCGAAAAATATAACCGTGCGTTAAGAGTAATAAAAAATATACTCTTGAAAAACATTATGAACTACGGAATAATTTGCTTGATCAAAAGTCTGATACGAGAATTATGGGGTGATTTGCTGTAGTGCCTAAACGACAAATTTCCGGACAGAGATTATTACTCAAGCATGCTTATTTTAATATCTTTTACAAGCTCTATCGGTTTGGCACAATTGGGAAACACCCTGTATATTATATTTTTTTCTATTTTTCAATAGTTTTTAGGTAATACTAATTATCGAATTATTCTTCTAGGTTACGTCGAAGGCCTAGCAAAACTAAAACTTATCAATCCAGAACTGAAACTTCTTTTTAGTGTCAGTGATCGAAATTCCGCTATGACTAAAGTGGTCGCCAATGAAACTTTGAGGAAAACCTTTAAAGAAAATGCTTACAATCTAGTGAAAACATTCAATTATGACGGTATAGATTTGGATTGGGAATTTCCTAAGGAAAAAGACAAGGTGGGCTGATCAATGGATATTCAAATTAAAGTCAGTTTTGATCAAATTTCAGGAAAACTTTGTTATCCTACTCAGTGAACTTAAGATAGAATTCACAAAACATGATTATTTGGTCACAGCTGCTGTAAGAGCCATACCAATCTACAAGGATACTGGATATAATGTACCTGAAATGTCTAAGTAAGTATGAATATCGAAGCGTTAGACTCAAAATTATTATAGCAGAGTATAAAGAATTCTGAAATCATTCAAATTTCAACTATCAATGTCAGGGATTTCGCGGGTTCACTAAAACTAACTTCACAAACAATAACAACTTTTATTGAACAAGCTGAATCAAAATTTCCTAAAGTTGGTGCTTTTGCTTAACTGTAGACAACAAATCTCTTATTTAAAGGGGGTGTGCGCCAAAAAAACAACTTCATCTCGAAAAAAAGAGAAAAAAAATCTAAGAATAACAGTGAAATCCGCACCGTATCTATGACAAATAATACCGCAGATATGGCTCTATGAAGGTACCGCATCTCTCTATGACGTCACGAAAGCTCAAGCGACGCACGAGAAAGTGGAGTTAATTAAATTTACCTACGAGCGTGCGGTAAAGTGCACTTTACCAGACGTATTTGAAAATGGAAAGTAGCACTTTACCGCATACTATTAACTTTACCGCATAGTGTGCGGTAAAGTTAACTTTACAGCATAGTATGCGGTAAAGTGGGCTACAAAGTGTGCGGTAGAGTGCACTTTACCGCATAGTGTGCGGTAAAGTAGAATTTGATATTAATTTTCAAAATTCCTTTCTTTTTCAGAAAATGGATTTTTGATCATTTCTAAATCTAATCTTATTTCATTAATAAATCTGATTCATTAATTAATTTTATCAATGTCTTTTTTTGGAGATGTAGATGCTCATAGGTAAAATTTTGTACCTAACGCATGCGGAAAGTGCCTTTACCGCCCTTAACGGCTTGACCGAACTCCGCTTCGCGTCGTTCGGTCAACTGCGTGCGGTAAAGTATTACTTTCCGCATTTGTTAGGTAAATAACTATTACATATGTTTTTCATGTGCTACCTGCAATAATCTAAACAAAAACCACTCACGCGTGTCGGGAATAATCAAATTAACAATGCGGAGCGCGGCTGGACGAAGTTCTCGTGACGCCACGAGAGCGTCGTCCACACTTTAAAGCGGTATATCTCAGCGATGGTTTATCGTAGATTAACAAGGTTCGAACAGTTATTCTTAGATTTTTTTACACTGAAACTTTAATTTTTGGCGCACACCCCCTTTAAACTGAACTAGCCTAAAAACTACGCGGTTTACATACCCAGATTGATAATAGGAAAGTATCTATAAATTATGTAATTTGATGTCCTAGACTCGCCGTACTTTATGTAACATCATTATTTTTTTTTTGTCTGAATTGTAGTCCCCTATCCCCTCGGGGTCCTAGAGTTTTATGGGGGGTTCCGAGAGATCTTGCGAAACACGCTCATCATTGAAACTTTAGGCATGTAGCCTTCCTGTGGGCACTACCTGTTGTTTCTATAATGCAACCCATAAATAAGACTCACTTTCCACTATCTGAGACAAGCCAAGTTGCTATTTTCATATACTTAATGTTCTATTGTAGTAAATGTGAAATATTTGTCTGGGAAAATAAGTGTACTTGTATTTTTCATTGATCTTGTGAACCCATCCGAAAATTTGAGCCAGACTCAAAAATTCTTGTTTTGTATCACCAGGAGAACAAACTATTTAATAGACACCAACTGGGAAAATAGTGCTAAAAAATTTCAATGGCTCCTGGACTATTACCAATCGACGTTCGTTTTTGTTGGTAATTTTTTGTTTCATCTGATTCATGATTGATAAATAAGAATGAGGTTATTCTAAATAGGTATTAAAAATACTCTATTGATTTTAAATAATATACTACATTATAGCGATTAAAAATGCATCATTGTTTTACGAGCGAATGGAAAATTGCGAGGGAAAAAATGAGCTTTCAGTCCGCATGATATATACTATTTTTTCCCCAACCAAGACAAATTAAGTTTTTTATTTTCAATACCTACAACTTTTACAAGATTTGACTAGATTCTCAATTCGAGATGGTAATCCTAACGGCCTCATACGCCAATTTTTGTGCTTCTCTCTTCTCTTTCTAGATCGGTTCTGATGTGGGTTGGAACAGAGGTAATAAGATTGTAACTCTAGAGACAACTTACAGTACATTCATGAAGAATTTTGGATCAATAAGCATCTTTTACTAGGATTTTTTTTTACAATCTCACCAACATCTGACTCTACCTCTTCTAAAAGTTCTTCATAAGAGGGCATTTCAAAAGGGTTTCTGGAAAGAGCATCAGCTAGTTGAAGTTTTTTTACCAGGAGTATACTCAACCGAATTAATTTACCTCATTAGGTAACCTTATACGAAACCTTTGAAGACGAGGTATTAAATGTTTAGTTTGTAAGATTTTTAGTAGTGGTTTATGATCAGTTTCTAAAATTATATTTGAAAGTCCAATTAGATATTCCTCAAACTTTTCACACGCCCAAAAACCAAAGCTTTTCGCTCAATTTCATCAGTATAACGGGATTTTGTATAGGATAGACAAGGCGAATTTGTCAATAAATCTTTAATTTTAGCAACAGAGTTTCTTTGGCAATCTACCAAGAAAAAGTCACACCATTTTTTAATAGAGAAGTCAGAGGTTCAACAATATCCGATTTATTTTGCATTTACTATTCCTAAAAATTGTTGGAAGATTTATTTCTTTTGAAGGTTCAGGAAATTTTTGAATTGCTTTAATCCTTGATGGATCTTCTTGTATTCCAGATGAATTTATAACACACTTCACATTTTGATTTATTTAAAGTTATACATTCCTGTTTAAGGTCTCAATAAAACGTTACGTAGGATGGAATCATGTTCTTCTACTGTAGACTGTAGCTGCATGAATCAGAATATCATCAATATGAATTATTATCCCTTTGACGCCTGTAAAAAGTTTTGAAAATTTCTGGCTAAAATATTTTGGATCACATGATACGCCAAAAGAAAGTATCTTGTAGAAAAACCGTCCAAAAGGTGATATAAATGTTGCCAAATGTTGAGATTCATTTGAAAGCCTTAATTGGTAAAGTCCTGAAGAAGCATCTAATTTTGAAAATATTTTAGATCTTTTAATTTTTGCCAAAGAAATTTCATCTTTAGGTTTTGGGAAATAGGCACGTGATTTTTAAAGAAATTTCATCTTTAAATGTACCAAATTCATTAAAAATGCCTGAATTTCAGTTTGTTCAGCATAAAGAATCGCATCAGGAAGATTAAAATTAGAGATGAACTCTAACTTTTCACTGCATTTTTTATCCAACAGTCCAACATTTATCACGAAATAATTCTTCTTTGAGGGACCCATAATTACATTGAATTGTCAGGGTATGTAATGCGGTAGTAAATTTTTTTATATCTTCACCTTGAAGTTGCACTCTGGAATTGAATTAAAATCTTCGAAAAATTGAATTACGATGCCGAATAAAGTAATTGATATACTCCAAAGTAAGATGCTCAATGGCACAATAGGGTATTTTCATATTTCTCAATTTTTTTTTTTAAATAGTTCAAGAGATCAGATATTACATTGTTTTTTTTTCCATTTTAATTTATTGTTTGTACGAAAAAAAAATTAAGTGAAATTCAAATTAAAAACTTTGGCGCGAAAACGCGTGGCTTAGAGACGTGACGTCATGATTTTGTAAACAACAAACGCGTTCGAATTTGATTCAGAAACTTTTATTTTTAAAAAACATTTATTTTATTAATTAAAATACAATAGTGACAATCGAAAAATATGTAGATCAAATTGCTACAGGGAGTGCCTGAAAACAAATGAACGCTCCTTACAGGAAAGCGCTGGCTTAAATAATAAATATTTGCTGAAGCATTTTCCTAGGCGGCATGGCGGTACTATAGTATTTTTAATACCCATTTAGAATAACCCCATCTTTATTTATCAATCATGAATCAGATGAAACAAAAAATTACCAACAAAAACGAATGTCGAGTGCTAATACGTCAAATTGATATACAAATGGGAAATTTCTAACCTACTTTTATTTGTCTGTTCAAGAAGCGACATACGTTTTGTCACTAGAACGACTGGTACGTCTAAATAGGTATTAAAAATTCTATACCAGTGGAGTACCGCTGATTAAGCAGTTTTATATATTTGTTAGTATTGACATAGGCGTACGCTTATAATTAACATACGAAAGGAGAATTATTAATATAAAGATAACTAATGCCCACTTGCACCAACCACAACTTAAATTGGTCTTAGCTAAGTCAGGTCTTAATTTTAGGTTAGCCTTTAATTTAATTTACTTGCACCATTGACAAATTATGCCGACTTGGCAAAGTCGGACTTAATAATTTTTGGCGATGGCAACGTTGCGAAATCCTCAGTAAACAGACAGACAAAATTTGACAAATAGTCTTTAGTATTTTGTGATTTTTCGGTATTTGGGTGTTTCTGAGAGTTTGAGCAATAGAAGAACCAAATTTTAAAAAGCAGAGGGGCGCGAATTTTACTTTAGTATAAAAGGAGGCCTTAATTAATATAGTGGCAGACTTAAAAATATTATTGAAAATAAAAAAACTGATGCTCTATCCATTCATGAAAAAAACGAGGCCTGGGTAAATGTATGCAGGAATTTCAATGCTGCTTCACCGGGCATGAGAGAGAGAAAGAAGTTTGGATTCTTTGAAACAATATTATAAGAATCAAAAAGAGGATCTACAGAAACAAAATAATGGCGTTTCCGATTGGTAGACGTAGTGTGGAACTAGTGCAATTTTTTTTATTTCTGTCTTTTTCTTCTACAGGTCAAATAAAAGGATGCAAATACACTCAGTGCGCGCTGAAACTACCAGGTGGAAACGCCATAAGATATATGAGAAATTTATAGGTTATTACGGGTTAAATTTTTTGTTAGAGGTTAGAACCCACCTTTAGGGCCGGTTTCTCAATAGCGAGTCACCCCCGTGCCCCGGGTTAAGCATAACTCCAGGGTAAACATAGCAACTCGACACGCTTACCCTGGAGTTAAAACCACTGGAGGTGACTCGCTATTGAGAAACCGGCCCTTAATGGGTTCTAACAAAAAATT